GGCATTCCTAAATTCCTCCCACCCAACTGAGTCCCTGTCTTAATGCAGGACAGACAGCTGAAATTCAAACACCTATCTGGGGAGACCAGGTAAGCAGGCACACTGTGAGACAATACATAAGGGTATAAGTTGATAGATTGTTTGGATAGGGCAGCAGTGATCAAAGTATAGAACTTTTTTGATGGGGCTTAGTGGTTTTCTATGGGGCACGGCTTCGAGGAGCACAGGGTGGACATTTTGTATTGTCTGCAAATTGTTTTCAGAAACCCAAGGTTAGGTCAACAAAAACATGGAGTGGCAATATTTTATACCCACTTATAACCTTGGGGCCTTGTCACCTCACCACAGGGGCCTCCCAACTTTTGATGCAGTCAAAACCCCGAACAATGGGTGTTTGCTTGAAACCACAAATAATTCACGGGAGTCACATCCTTTGCTCACATTTAATTTTTATTTTGATTTTTTTAATGCTGCACAACACAATACTTATTTCATTTGTTTCATTTATGTCATTTATTCTTTTATTTCTTTATTTCTGTTTGCTGCTGTTATTTTACTTACTTAAAGAGAGAGGGAACGTTTGTGGCCTTTTTTTTCCTTTATCGTTTTCTGTAGGCCGCCTTAAGCTTTCTAAATTTGGAATACTTAAGCAAGCTGAAGGGTAAAGGGGGTTTCGCAAAATCACTTGAGGGAAAGGAAAGGTTGCTTTGTTAATCATGCCCTATGGTGGGTGATCAACTGCGTGTACAATTACGTTTCACTTTTAATTAATTGTGCTTAAGGCCTTAATTAAATTTGGAAGTTCCCTTCTTAGAGCAGCTCATACTGACGGAGGTGCATGCGCTGGATGATGTCACGGCAGTCGTTGAACACACGGCGAATGTTCTCTGTGTCCACAGCGCAGGTGAAGTGAGGGTAGCAATAGTGGCGCCCGTCTCCACTAGCAGTGCTGATTCTCTGTGGGCACAGAAGGAAACTCGGTCAGTGCCGCCTCTCCAGTAAGTCCCCCTGTCAGCAGTGGGGTCACCTACCAAGGACGGCCCACCAGTCATTGATGTTAAAACCAACCCAAGTTGAGGGGCACAAAGGCTAAATTCATACTGACTATCGGTGAAATAACACTGAGGAACTGGATGGTTTGATCCCCAAATTTAGAAGTAAGGAAACTTACACCCCTAAGAATAAGAGAACAAGCAGAGAGAGGGAACCAAAGACAGTCTCTACTCACCAGAAATTCATCTCGAATGAAGTATTTGGCCCGGGTCACGCGTGGGTCCTCTCCGGGCTCGGGAGTCGCTGCAAAGAATATAAATATTTTGTTACTTAAGTGATTAAAATAAGGTTCTTTGGCTCCCCCTACAGATCCCTGATAGTGTGGCGGTGGTTGAGGGGGGTGGTTTCCATTCTTAGAGGATGTTCATTTTTAAAACCCAGACCAGAAATTTTTAACATATGCAAGACACCCCACGGGACCAAGGGGCACTTATCAGCTGCAGAAGGCCACACATACCATCCTCAGGAGTAGTGTAGCGAGCAAATTCTGGAAAGTAGTCCTCAATCTTTGATTTTCCAGCAAGGACTTTCTCAGCGAGCAGATCTTGCTTGTTGAGGAACAGAATCACAGAGATGGTGCGCAGCCATCTAAAAAAGAGAGACACAGGTTTAATGCCCAGGAAAAGAAAGCATTCTTTCTGCAAGGGGTTTGAGATGCTTGCCCAAGAACTTGCACAAGATTCTTTTCTACTAGTCATGCAAATACAGGGCCTTGAGATCAGTGGGGAGGAGACCAGGGGGTCACCGCCCAAACCTATTGTTCCAGATGCTCTTGAAGAGGTTCAGCGCCTCCTGCAGACGGTTGGTCTGGTTGTCCTCCCGGATGACCATGTTGTAGCTGCTGCTGGCAACCACGAAGATGATGGCAGTCACATCTTCGGCACAAGAAAGCAAAAGCAGTGCACGTTAGAAGAGAAAGTGATCCTTAACGCTGAAAAAACCAAAATGTCCTTAAAGAGCAGAGAAGCCCATGGCTTCCGTACCATTGAAGCACTGGATCCATTTGCGGCGTTCATCACGCTGGCCGCCCACGTCGAACATGCTGCAGGAGAGAAATGACACCTGGTCACTCCAAGGGCCAACACTGGTCCACCATTCTCCCTGACAGAGGGAACGTCAAGAAATCTCTCCCTCTCTCTCTCTCTCTCTCTCTCTCTCTCTCTTTTTTTAAAAAGGGAGCCATTGACTTACTGGAAGTTGACTTTATCCACCTGGAACTTGGTCTCAAAGATTCCAGAAGTTAGGACGCGGCAGCGCAGCAGGTCCTAAAACAAAACCTTAGGTCAAGGGATCTCACCCAAACCAACCAAAACATTAATAATTGACAATCTGGAGCAAAAGTCTTGACTAGTTCGGAAAGAGGGCTCTGCGTCCTCTGCTTGTGAGGCCGTGTGCGTACCTGGTCGCTGGGCACATAGTCAGCCTGCTTGATGACGTCAATCTTGTCCAGGAAGCTGGGAGGGAAAGAAAAATGCACAGGCGTGAGCACACACTCATGCCACTTCCCCACTATTCCTGCCTCTCTGCCAAGTCCAGCTAAATGGAAATGATCACCCCACAGTTACCTGGCATTAAGTCAATGGAGAGTTTGCTTGCGTTCATTATGTGTCCAAGCTTATGCCTTAGAAAAGGTTAGAGCCAACAGAATTTAAGATAAATGTACCTGGCTGACCAGTAGGTCTAGGAACCAGGAACTAGGGGTGGGCTCTCAGGGCCCCTGGCCCACAGGTACAGCACAGGCCAGTGCAGAGCTCTGGTCTTGCTTTAATTTTGAAAGGCTGGTTCTGTGCACGTCAATTAGCTGAAGGTCCAAAATCAGGTCTGATTTTGTGCCATTTGATAAAGACTGAGTAAAAATTTCAGATTTTCAAATTGTTTGGCTTTGAGTAAAATGGCAAGTAGTTTGAAATTGTACCCTTCCACGTCACACAGTTTTTTTTAAAAAGATGAAAAAGATGGCACACTTTAAAGAAACAAGGATTCCCGCCCCCCGCCCCCCAAGGGGCTAATGAAAATAAGATTGAGTTACTCAGAAAGGGTATCCCTTCCCTTCTACTTTTAAGAAGGGGCCCTTTTGGCCCTTACCACAGTGAACAGGAAACAGACACTAAGTTCCCTTCCGTTCCACTTGGTCCATGAAATAGAACAGTCCAGATATTAAAACTTTGAGTTTTCAAAAAACCTCACAGCCATCCAGGTTAGGGGCCCTTATCTGGGCAGAGAGCAAGTACAGTGGAGGGGAGGGGGCGGTCTCAGGGGCCATCATTAGTGATGCAAAAGCTTTAGAGGGAAAAGCAGTGTTTTCTATCTCCCGCTCCACAGCCACAACTGTTCCCAAAGTAAAAAGTATCTTTGCTTGTGTTGCCTGACTAGATACACTGTTAGGAAAAATAACTTCTAAAAGACTGGACTAATTTAATTACTGTGAAAAGTTAATATTAAAACCAGCTTTTTTGGGGGGGGCAGGGGTCTGGATTGTTGTAAAGTGGGCTAATCAGGAAAAAAATCACAAAGAGAGAAAAGTCTATTTAAAGAAATTTTATAAGGTCCCCCCCCCCCAACGCCCCTTCCTTTTTACCAGTTTAAAGTTAGTCTGGCTTAGAGGATATACCGACTTGCCCAATCAGTCTTACATTACAGCACCGGGCAAAAAACCCAAAAAAGAAAAAATCTTTTTAAAAAAAATTTTTAAAGGCCCCCCCCCCCCCAACGCCCCTTCCTTTTTACCAGTTTAAAGTTAGTCTGGCTTAGAGGATATACCGACTTGCCCAATCAGTCTTACATTACAGCACCGGGCCAGAAATAGCTCCCCAGCCGCCCTGGCCTGCAGCACGTTGCCATGGCAACAGAACCACAGTTCTATAAATAGATCATCAGCACCAAATCTTGTGAGAGAGACATCTGGAGTAAGGCCAGCCAAACCCCAGCTCAACAAATAAAAAATAGGCACCTTAAGGAATGGGCAAGGTACCAGGAGCTCAACTTTAACATAAAGGCCGTTAAACCAGAAACACGTTGGTCACTGCAAAGGCAGGGCTACTTTAACCATCGGGCTGGGGAAGACATTTTCTAAGATTCAAGCTATGTTCCCTTTTTCCCCCGGAGCTCCCTTGAAACTTTCCACAAATTGTGCAAATGTTGCCATTTTCAGATAAAGTTGCAGGAGTAACTGAATTTTGCCTTAAAAAAACAACTTTTAAATGGTGTGAGATTCAAAAAAAAAAAACAAAAACTGGCTCACTGTTCATCAATGAAGTTGTTACACCCTCCCCACTTCCAGAGCCTCAAAACTGGGATGGTTAAACCCTCCTAATCTTGTACCTGCACTTCTGACTTGGATCCAAAATACAAAAGGCAAACAATTCCAGGATTTCCATTTGTTTTGCGTTACTATAATTAGCACTTCCAGCTTTAAGCTCAAACTTTTGAGAAAATCAGGGGCTTTGTTGAAGACGGGGTGGGGGTGGGAGGGTCACAGGGACGGGCCCAGATGGACTTTTTTTCTGCCCCTTGAAAAAATATACAGATTTGCTTGTATATTAAAAAAAAAAAAAAAAAAAAATCACAAAATAGCTACAGGTGTGACAACTGAAAATAATCAAATGCATTTTCGATGGGAAAGCAGGGCCAGGGAAAGATAAATTGATAGGTTTCACAGCCCCCTAACATCAGCTTGTGTGATGTGTCTCTAACAGGATTCTGGGGAGCTTGCTTCGCGTTTGCTGTTTGAGCGCTGTCACCTCTTCCTCCCTCCTGTTTATTCGAGTGGTTTTCACAATAAGCTCCTCCGGCGTGGGGCTCCTACGTAATGCGATTTTAGCTTGTTGTGAGCCAGCCCAGGGTACCTTGGTCCTGGTTACTTAATATTTTCAATAGCAAAATTGTTTGTGAGTTTCAGTTACTTACATGAGAGAGGCTAAAACATCACAAATCTCTCTTGCCCTTCCCCCGGTCATAAAAGGCAATCCAACTTGAGAAAATGATAACTGAGCCCACTTAGTACATTTGTGCAACGTCAGCAAACAAACGATACCTTTAAAATATTTTTGATGGCTCTGAACCTCACATATTTGCTATGTTATGTACAGGATAAGGAGGGTCATAAACTATTTAAAAGGCAACTTTCCAGCTGTGTTATCACATCCACTGGAAGGCAGCCCATGAAAGGACAGAGCAAGGACCCCATGGGGGGAGCATCCTTGAATTAAGGCCCAGTGTGAATGAATGAATAAGGATAGGAAATGGGATTCAACACAATACCCGACTCTAGATGAACTAGAAATATTGCACTCTGGCAGCTACTGTAGTCAACCTACCTGATAGCAGAAACAGCAAAGCAACTTATCAGTCACCAAGGAGGAGGAGGCATATTTTTGTCCTCACTGTTCCTCTTTGTCAGGTTTTTACATTACAGCAATAAAATAGAATATTTCTACCTGATCCGAAGTGTGAGAGCTGCCCTATCTCCCTAAATGCTTGGAGGTCAATTCAATTAATCACTTCAAGCTAATTAATTATGAATGTCACTTTACTGCAGGTAATTATCATTTTGCTCTCACAGGCATTAATTGTTTGTATAAAAATAATGTCACCGCACTAAAAAGTGCAATTAAGGGCTTTATAAAACAAATGAATCAGACTAGAACTTCCTAACCGCAGGTGGGAATAACTGGCTGGCTTCTATGAAAATAACTCATTTACAAGTAACTTGAAAAGTGGGAGTCGAGGTTTGTAAGGTTCTCTCCGTGTGCCCGTGTGTGCCTATCCCACATGCGGACGTGGAGACGGGGTTACTCACTACTGGGCGCAGTCGATGAGCTGGTACTCGTTGGAGCGCTCGTAGCAGGCACGCACCCCCTCGTCCTCCCACAGAGCCTTGGCGTGCTCGTAGAATTCCTGAAAGTGAACACGAGAGGGAAGGTTTAGACGCGGGAGCTGCTCAAAGTCAATGAGACTGGAGTTCACTCTGCCACCAACCCTGGGTGTGATTATTCCCAATTTCGGGGCAAACTAAGGAATGGGCGTTCATAAAGACCTTCAGCGTGCTAAACGTATTCAAAAATTGAATCCAGCTGTCCTCTTACTGTGAATTACTGTTCTTGGGTAGTTTTCATCCTATATTTTTTGGAGTGGGGGGAGGGGCCAGAGTAAACTACTGAATAAGTTTGTTCACCCAACGGCTCATCTAGGAGAACTATAAACTCATTAGGAGGTGCTGCCAATGTATGATTCCATGTCGTGGAAACAAGACGTTTTCATTTGTGAAGATGTGGTGGGATCGAAATTTTCCTTCCAGGAAAATTGGAATTTTCGAAAAAAAATATTATGGTCGGGAGTTGCTGGCAAATCTGACCTTGTCCATCAATGCCTGTCAATCAAAAGAGCAAATGACTTCTGCGTGGCTTTAAATTGCAGTAGGTCATGACTCCCATTTCATTTGAACAGAACAACATTTTTAATTGTATCGGGGCAATTCGTCCCTTAGAAGGAAAGAGAAGGTTCTTCTGCAATGTGAATGCAGCACGAAAAGGGTCAAAAAAAAAGTAGGCAGGAATGTGGAGTTCAGCTAACGGAAGATCCTCTTAAGAGGTCACCGTCCTCGTGTATTTTTAACGGGCTGCCTTTTTTCTCCTATTAGAAATACAGAATCACGTCTCATGAAAGAGTCTGTGTTTGGCATTATGCGTGCTGTGTTTACTGCTCGACTTTTTTTCCATTTAAAAGAATTTACCTAGCCATACTTACTGCTTCCTTGCTAAGAGAAGTTTGCGGCCAAACCCATTTAAAATACACAAACACAAATTCCCACGAAAGCCTGACAAAAGGCAACAATAAGTCATTGTTTTTGCTGTAGACAAGTCTTTTCCTTCTGGGCCTTATAAACTTGCCCATCTTTCCATCTTGTTTCCTGTCCCCCTCTTATAAACTATTCTTCCCCCACAAAGGGGTCAAAACATATATGCTTGGGCCACAGGCAATTTTGTGTTCCCTAAAAATAGTTCTTTATGGAGCAGACAAATCACGCCAGCCAGGGTGCACAGAGGACAGTGCCTGGGTTATGATTTATTTAGGTGAAGGTCTTTTCTTTCTTTTTTTTTTTGAATAATGAGAAAAGACTTCATTTGCCCCAAGACAAGGACTGACTTTAGAAAAACCTTAATAAAGGTTAAATGGCAAATTGTTTAAAATGAGAATATCTTCCGTTTATAAGACTCACAGCTGGAACTTCATTTCTGCATTCCTTGGTATCTTAGGATATTTTCGATTACCTAGACAATTAGCATTTGTGTGCCATACTTAACAGTTTGTCACAAGATGCGTATAAGGGAATAATTAAGGCTGCCACAACTCATGACTTTTTCTCATAAAGATTTACAGTCTAATACAGCGAGAACTGTAGTATTGAACTGTGATGTTTTCTTGCGGGGACGGGCGAGCCAAGACTCACAAGGGGTGACAGAAATTCGCTCATCCATCTTGACTAAAGCTCTAATGATTACTTTTCCTATCAATATCACAGAAATGGGTTTTGCTGGCAGTGTGCCTGTGCGGGGGACATCCCGGGGTGGGGGGTGTGGGGTGGGAAGGGGAACGGGCTTAGCTTACAGGAGGGAAGTCAAAGTCTGGCACGTTCATCACGCTCAGAATGTAGTCCACTCTGAACTGGTTCTCGGGGTTGGCCAGCTCCACAGGGGGCACCAGGTTGCTCATGGCGGCCACGATGGTCTGAAAATGATGGAGCAAAGCGGTCAGGGGGACAGCGCTGTCTGACAGGGAGGCTAAAAGAATGACAAAAAGGACCAGGCACGTACTTCAATGGCCTCTTTCAGGTTGTTTTTGATGTCCTGCACTTTGGTTGCCTTCTCACTACAGTGGGATTGAAAAGGAAGAAAAAAATCATATTGCATCACGCTGACTCACAGTGTCGCTTCAATCACGATTTTCCAACTAAAATAGTATTCTGTTCTTGAAGGAGTGGTGGGTTCAGATCGGTGCAGAGGTTGGAGGTTCCTGAATAAAGGTGGTTTCAAATGATAACCTCCCAGACTGTGTCCTGAGGACACGCCCAATTGGGGCAGAGTACCAAATCGGCATCTAGATAAGGATCAAGGCTACTGTACCAGAAGTGGGGGCTGGCTCATCACTATTCAGAGGTGCTTCCATTTTCTTGAGGCCCACACGGCACACCAGCACTTCCGAAAAGGTTCCTACTGGCCCTTGCTAGCATCCCTGCTTTGGGGGTGGGGCTGGGAGGGGGGAAAAGTTCAAGGTGTGCCTTGGGGCTTCCTCAGTCACTGGATTAGCACATGGACAACCAGTGGATGAAATGCAGGTGGTAGTGTTAATTACAGATTTGAGGGCTTTGGGGCCCTATTTATTTTTATTTCAATAGTCACTGTGTGTCTGTCACTGCAGCCAGCAGCAGTGGATGACATTCCTAGTTGATGATGTTAATATAGATTGATCCCTCGATGTGAATAAGGTAAAATAAGATTCTGCCCCCAGAAGGCTTTATGATCTGGGATTTATTGGGGGGAGGGGAGGGAGGCGGTGTGGCCCATGTCCCTCTGTTAAGCAGAGGTTAGCGTTTGTTGCTTATTGATTTTAACGTGGGCACCTGGGACGGCCCGTGTATAGATGTGGAACCATCTACATTCAGGATCCCTGGGACCACAGATAAAGGCCACGTCCTTTGGCTCTGTGGTCCCCTGACGTTGTCCCCCCGTGTCTTTCAGACACTGTCCTTCACCACAGGCACAGCCAGGGAACATTCTCGGGTTTGTTGTTTTAGGGGTTAAGGACCTCTTGCTCAGGGTGTAAATCTTGCCACTCTACTTACTGCCCAGGCGTCACCTCTTGGTTTGGGGGGGTGGGATGGGGTATTGAACCCACAGCCATGACACACCTACTGCATATTGGGCCCTGGGATGTGACAGCACCGTCACGAGGACCTAAGGTGCTGTCCTCACAGAGGAGGGAACTGAGGCTGAGGGAGGGAGGGTCTGAGTGACAGAGGCAGGACGACAGAGGGGGAGACAGAGCTTACGTTTTTCTTGCAAGGATTTTTAAAGAAATGTCTTTAAAGAGAGTCCCAATTTTTGACGTATTCACGGGGTTAATTGCCCAAGAGTCGTTGGGATGGAGGTAGAAATTAAACACGTAGCTCTCAAGGCAGAACACGACAGGACATTAATGCGGAGGACACGCGGGGTGGGGGGGAGGGGGGCGGGTAACAGCAAAGTGCAGCCCAGGGGGGAGGTCAGCATGTGACGTGGGGAGGCGGGTCTCGGGTCGGGGGACCACGGCGGTGGGGGATGGGGGATGTCACGTGCTCTCCTGCAAGAGCCCCGCCCCCTCGAAAACCTGGCCTTTCCTTGCATATTCGTTTGAGGGGTGGGCCCTCGTTTTCTGAATGATCTCACCGCATTTCATCCCTACCCCAGGGTCAGACTAGCCTTTGAGACCCCGCCCCTCTCACACCGGAATCCGGAGCTGGTTTAGAGGTGCTGTGCTCATCAGGGGCTGAGGGTGTGGGGCGACAGATGGTACCAGGAACCCCCCTCATGGTCGGGAGAACTCCAGGCACGGACATGAAAGCTGTGCTGCCAACCAGGAGAGTGGGACCCGTGCCGCAAAAGCCCCCGGACTCTTAACGCAACGACCCTAGGCTTAAAGGGCGAGTGTCCCGACCCCTGTCTGTGGGGCTATTCTGCTTCGTACGTTTCTGAAAATTACTAATCGTGTCCGGACTTGGTGCTACAGGCTGAATCAGGGATTTAAGACGTTGGAGTTTTAAAAGGACACGTGTTTGTCCCTAACGTTCACCCAGGAATTCAAAGTCAAAACCCCATAGGGACAAATCCATTCCCATTCATTAGAAACAAGCTCCATTTCCATGGTACTGAGAGCCTTTAACCTCTGTTTTTATGGTCCCACCAGAGTTAAAATTAGATATGTCCGGGTATTTAATACCCAAATGAACAAAGAGCAAGAGAAAAGTTATTTCCAGAAACCTGATTCTTTCATTCAGTTTGATATTTTGGTCTAAGCAGTAGTATGATAATTGGAAAACTTCCAGTCTTAAATACGGATATTTTGAGAACGTGTTCAGTATTCATCTACGTATGTGAATAGGTGTGGGAGTATATCAAGTATAAAACAGCTAAAATAGAAATCTAAAATCTAATTCGGGCGTGTAATACTAAAACATAAAAATTCCTCCATCGAAGCAGTTACTCTGTAGATAGAGCTATGGTTCTGGGGGCTGTGGCAGGTTTATCATACTTTTTACTATCGCTTAATGAACTCTAATGTTGATGGTGACATTCGGAGAAAATTCCTCAGAGGTCTCTAAGCTACTCAGCAAAGCCAAACTGTGTATCAATTGCTAGAATTCTGATGGACTGAAAAATGGGGGCTGGGAGTACTTTTAGGATATTGTAGCTTCCCCCCCCCCCACCCCCCCCCCCCCCCACGTAGAAAGCAGATCAGGGCTGCTTTCTGTGCTAGGTTTGAATTCTAAGAGCTGCCCACCCGGCTCCCCGCTTCAGCTAAGTATTAGGGGAAGGCTATGTCGTACCAAGTTCTATACCATTTTATCTTTATGCCTTTCTTTTTTTCCTTTGGTGGGAAAAGACAGAAGACAGACGCAAGATACAGGGATTGCTGAGACATGCAGATCACTTTTATTTATCACATATGTTAATACTTATTTCTACTTGTAGAACAGAGTCACAGATAGAAGAGCAGGCTGTTAGTAGGTATTAGAAGGGTTCAGGGGTCTAGCGTAGCATCTAGTACACAGTAGGTGGCTCAGTAAAGATGTGTCATAGCTCTCAAATGCCAACTTTTGGTACAGTAAACTGTCAATCACTTTTTATGTAGATGCCTTGGATAGCTGATACACTACATTTTTGTCAATTAGGGATTCCTTTTTTTTGTTTTTTTTTTTTTTGTTGTTGTTGTTATCTTTAGAGGTTAGGTGGTAGGGCCCCCTCCCCCCTCCCCAACAGAATAGTATTCTTATTAGAAGTTGCTAAGACGGGCAATTCCAGCATGCAAAGTGTGATAGGACATAGCCGGGAAGATGAGAAATTGAAGCCATCATCTAGGGGTAATATTGTCTAAAAAAAACAGATGAACAAACATATGTCAGTTACTTGGTCCCGACCCCCCAGTATCCTTTGCCCCTCCCCTCCCAGGCCACAGAAGCTATTTCTCTGAGGTGCCCTAGCTAGGTCAGTGGGCTCTGCATGTTCTCAGGAGAAATAGCTGCCCCCCCCCACTGCAAGCTGAATAAGCAAAGCAGTGCTCAAAGAGGGTTACCTGGCATGCGTGTGTGTGAGCGTGTGTTCGCGCACGGGCGTGATGGGCAGTGCGGATGCAGGAAGTGGAGAAAAAAAAAATTTGATAATGAATGGAAAAAGATGGAGGCCATCATTAAGTTCCTGTCCACTAGCTAACATAAAGTGCCTTGGGTTAAAATAAATTTGACAATTTTAAAAAGACCAGAGGCTTTTCGAGATCATTCTCAACAATGACCTCCCCTCCTCCTCGGCATTTTGTTTTCCCAAAATTAAGAACAGTGTGGCACCACGTATTTTAATAGAGGTAAAAAAAAAAATCCCCCCCCCCCCCCCCCCTGCCGTAAGGTTGAGGACAAGGTAACCTAAAGGAGTCTCTCCCCTCTTGAGACTCACTTCTCTATTAAGCTGTAGTGGGCTGTGAAGTGGCTAAAAAGGGGGAGGAAAAAAAAAAAACCCCCCCCCCCCCCGTGGAGGTCTGAAATTTTAAAACCAGACCAACCACTGGGTAGATGGAATTTAGTAGTTTTAAAAACAAGTAGCCAGTTCAAATGGTGAGCTGGGGGGGTTGGGGGGGAGGATAGAAACCATATGGAAAAACATCAATTCTCGAGAAACCCTAAACTGACCGTCTAAAGTTGAAATCTCTAGCCTTCCCCCAGCTGGATCTAATTATACTTTAAGGTTGGCCAAAAAAAATTGTTTTGCACTTCACTTGCTGTGAAATGTTAAGAAATGATGCTGTTTGCAGACATATAGCAAGATGGCTGATGGCCCTTAAATGATTTTGGTTTCCTTCCCGGGTCTCTGTGTCCTCAGTTTCCCAGTATGACCTTCGTGTGTGTCAAATGTGCGTGTGAGGTTTCTCTGTTTTCGAATGTGCCTACCCATCGCTGTTGCTCCTTGCGGCCTGCGGGTCCTCTTCGCCGCCCCTTTTAAAGAGAGATTGAAAGCTCACCTAATCTGCAAGGCACCGCAATTTCACAAAAACCCCACACAGCCTCTCTACATTCCTAAACAAATGGCCACCATCCTCCCGTTAATTCTTAGGTCGCCTTTCTGGCTAAATTGGAATGTCTACTGAGACTGCAGGCCATAGAGGGAAGAATTCCACACCTTTGCTGCAGTATTAGCAGGGTCCTCTGGGGACTCCCGTCGGGTACAGAAGAGACGGATAATTATTTTCCTGTGCTTTCACTAAACATACATGCAGCAGGGAGCTAAAGCAGTGATTTATCTCACAATTCTTTGGAGAATACAGCAGCACATAAGGCCCCTGATTGTCCCAGACCTCAATCTTCACCATGTTGCATCTGAACACAGACATGGGTGCTTTTGGCCCACGATTTCCTGGTGCCAATATCAATTTCCTCCCTTTTTGTAGTCGGGAAACTACCTGTTATTTCTATATAATTGCTCCCCATAAACTGTCATCAGTTAAAAGTGTGCCTGGACCATAAGGCAACAAAAAATAAAAAGAATAAAACCCACTACCACCAACCCTCCCCACCCCCCAAAACCCAATCTTCATGAATGGTAGGAAATCCTCCTTGAAGGTGGGACGGGCAAGATGGCTTAAGCTGTCTACGTGGGTTTGTACTTGATTAGCTTATTAGCTCAACCAGTGTTAATGGCACTTTTTTTTTTTTTAAGGTAAGATAGAGAGTTAGCGTTGAGTTAGGAAAATCCGCATCTGACCTCTGTATTTCTGAAGGTCAGATTAATGACATGTTACTCTGCAGATGTACTTGGCACAGCAGTCTGCGGACAGTTAAGGCAAATGTAATAGCTCAGCCCAGCCCTGACAAAGCGCACATTTATGGAGGAAGGAGGGAGAGACCCTGCACCACACAAAACACCCTTTCGTGGACGGATGTCCCCACTTCACAGGGAATTCCTAGTGGAGAAGGAAACCGCTTTTGTTGCAATACCACAGCGAGGAAAAAGAGAAAAGGAGGCTCAGCTGGACAAGATAAAAATAAGGTTTCTAAACTCACATAAAGAATTCCCCTGTATGTCACTTTCACGGGCTAAATTTAACATCCTCCGAGATTACCTATGGCTTCCTCTGCAAAGCAGGCAAACTGGGAATGTCGCTTCCTCTTTTGAAAAAATAGAAAAGAGAAGTTCTGGTTTAAATGCCTCGTCTGCATTACAGACGGGCTCACTTAGGCAGGAGAATCCTTTCCCTAAAAATTAAGAAATTTTAGGGCAATCTGCAGAGTAATAAAACTTTAAGTGAATTATGTCAAGGATGTCCTATCTTCCTACTGGACTCGAGCTAAGGTAAACAGTGGCTGCTGCATCCTTTTAAAAAATTCGAGCCATGTCCAGTTTTAATCAAAATATTTATCTATAGAGGGTACATGGTCAAATTATTTTTGCTTAACTAGCCTCATGAAGCAGCTCTCCCCAGCAAGTTGCAGGGGGGAAAATTATGCAAGACTTTTCTTTAGGTCACAAAATCATAGCAAGAAGCCTATTTCAGGTTTTTTGTTTCACTTGACCGACGGCAACTCTGGTGGCAAGGCTTTAGAAATTAAGAATTTCAGAACTGGTTTGTGACCGGTGAACTAATTAACAGCATGTATGTGCATATATCAGTAACTCATCAGGAGCCATTCATAAAATTAATAGTCCATCCCTCTGAATTTTAAAGCTTAAAAAGCATCCTAAACTAAAATGTCCATTTGTATGGGTGATGTCATCCTTTTCTCCACCCCCCCTTATTTGGTCTAAGAAATTCTAGAATTTTCCATAAAGAGCCTGTTTTCCATAAACTGCCTTCAGCTCAGTTTTTTTTACCTCTGAAAGGTGATAAAATCATCTTTGTCCGTGTCCCCCCCTCTTTGTTGTTTCCCCCCCCCCCGCCCCGCCCTTAGTAGGCGACAGTAACTTTTTTTTTAAACTGGTTTGTTTTGGGTGCACAACTGAATTAAACTATGCCCCTCTGACTCAATCTTCCCTTTTGAAACCAAGGGGGAATGCAACTTTCAACTGAATCCAGGTTTAAGAAAGGGAATAGGATTGCTAACCAACTAACTGCAAACTAGTGCCTTCAGGTGTTTGTAATCTAGTGAGGCTAACTGCTCTCGCCCCCCGTGAAAACAGAGGCTGGGTCTGGGGAGACTTGTGCCCCTTATTTGCATCCTTCCTGGCAAGTAGAACGCCATTCCCGTCTTTTACCTCCCTGATATAGGCACTCTCTCGTTTCATCTTTATTCTCACTGCGGTATTGTCACATTGTCCTATAGCAAAATGCCCTGAAGGACTTTTCAAAGGCCAAAGTACCTCTTGGTCTGGCCGGAAGTGCCCAACTCCCAGACTTTCCATCATTTAAACGTCTTTTTCTTTTCTTTAAGGCAAGACCATCGATTTTTAAAAAGGGAAACAATGATCTACGCATGATAATTCCAAAGGGGGTGAGGGGTGGGGAATGAGGAATTATGAACAAGGGCCGACTCTTCCAACTTAGTTTTATGTGAGAATATTATTGAAACCATGTTTCCCTAGTAGTTTACAACATCCTGCACTGGTGCATTGCGCTGAAATGTGCTTGGGGGCGGGGGGCGTCTCTGCAGTGGTCAGCGTCACCAGGCAAAAGGGTGGCCACGGCCAGCGTCAGCTATGTCTGAGACCCACTGCACCAAAATCCGCCGCAGACCCGTCACAGGGCCAAAACTGGGGCTTTATTATTATTACTGTTTCGTTGCTGCACCAAAGAGTAAAAGGAGGCAGAGGAGAGCAACCCCTAAAGAGCTCTTCCCTGGCTTTTCTAACACGTAGGCTGAAAAAATTCAAGCGGACGTTGCCCAGCCCCCAAAAGCTACCTAAACTTCCTAAAGGTTAGTATCCAATGTGCTACTCTGCCTGTGCCCTTGCCACAGATTTGACACTTACTCTCCATTAAACCCATTAACATGCAGGATCCTCATTTGCTTCACGATGGTGCTTTTACCAGATTCTCCAGCACCTAGAAAATGAAAGTAAGTCTCAGGTTAAGAGGGAGGCATTTTACACACTTTGGGCAGGGAGGAGAGAGAAAGAGGGCTGCCGTTTTCTCCATAGAAGCAACACACACAAAAAAACAAGAGACTTGCAATTTTCCTGGACGTTTCGACGCAGAGAAAAGGAAATAAACATCCAACTTTGTGTGTACCTGCAGTATTCCACCATCAGAACAAACAAGAATTAAAGGTTTTGCTTTGTTTAGGTGTTTTGTTTTCTTCTTCTGACTTTTCCTTTTGGTTGCCTTAAAATTTGTGGGGTGGGCAAAGGGGCGAAGAAAGAATGACGCAATTCTGTCATGGGGGGGGGTCAAGAAAAGTGCTGTTAAAGCCATGAGAATGGATGTTTGAACTATGAGCCTTCACTGGTAAAAATGTACACATTAATGTATACGGCCACATAATTCACTGCTCGTTAGATGTTTCATGGTTAAAGTACCCCAGTATTCACAAACAATGCCCCGGCCCTGCAGGCGCCCCCAGATCACGTACTGACGCAGCAACGGCCTCTTCAACATTTTCTCAAGGCTGCTGCCTTCTCTGCAGGGTTCTCGCCCCCTGGGCTACTTAAAAATCAACCCCCAAGCCCCATACTATTACACTTTATCCACTTCTCCACACCCCTCCCCCTTTCCTGCTAACTTTGTTTTTCTGAAGATAAACTCTCTCTGGACACAACAACCATGGGGGGGGACCCCATTGATTTGCTGTCACCTTCTCGAAAAACACATTTAAATATTAAATACAGGGCTTGAGAACTACCCTATTAGCATGTTAAAAGGACAGGACTTTAATCAGGAGGGAAAGTATTCCTGGGAACCACTGAATTTTCAAAGATTCCAAGCCCTTCCCAGCGAACAGAGCTAGAAGGGGCGCATGCCCCCATTTTAAACCACCTTTCATTTGTAAAAACATATATCTTATGGAAAAAACACAGTTCCACCAAGCTAGAAGGAGGACTGCTAGTTTCTCATTTTCTGTTTTTGCAAATGGATACTCTCTCCAACAACTAACCCTGAGGGGACAATTTCTGTCCTCCTCAAGCACAAACCTGTTTGGTTTTTTAGTTCTCTTTTAATTTTATTAATTGTTTTTTTTACTGCCCAGAGAGCAAAGCGTTCCTCCTTCTCTTGCCTTTTCACAAGGCTGCAATCAATATCTGTAAAAAGTTAAAATCAGTTTCCACAGAAACATTGATTTCAGAGCAAACATTCTATCTTAATGAGCCTAACTCTCATAAATTAAAATATTAAAGGTACGTTTAAGAGATTCCATGAAGAGAATACATAGTCTTAATCAGAATCTCCAACACTCTCGTGTTAAAATGTGTATCACCTCTCTTTACGGGCACAAACAGGTCCGTGCCTCAGTTTCCACATTTAGGAAATTAGAGAATCGTACTGAAAAATTACTCCAAGACCTTTTGTGATACTGTAATTCACTCAGATTTCATATCATTACATTAAAAAAGAGGATTCTGGGCATCACTACTTTTCCTCTTTTGCGTGGGGGGGCATCATTTGGTGAGAATCACGATTTAAAAATGCAAAATGTGTGGCACTGCCTTGGGCTGCAGACCCCCATATGCCAGAGCCTTCAATAAATTATGGTAATAGGGCTAGGACACCTGGGAAAGGTTAGCCCAGTGATGCCAGGTGTGTTCAGAGCAACAGTCTCAAGTGAAGACTTTGTGATCTCCGTGCAAGGCTGTTAGAAATTTAAGGTACCATTAACATCACACTTGTTTTAAATTAGTATTCAGATAGGAGTGTTCCTAGGAAAGATTCTAGACTTTTCTAGGCTTATACTTTGAAATCAAATTACATGGCACATTAATATTCACATAGCATAGTTCCACCTTTAGAAGTTTTTGACAACACCTCAACATACGTACCACTTAATTATTGTAATTGCAAATGCATAAACACACACCAAAGGGACTTATTTTCACTTAATAATTTTCTGCTTTACATAAATCTGGACCCAGGAGAACAAAGACGTGACCCATCCAAAAAAAAAAAAAAGCAAAGCAGACGCCACCACAAAGAAAAAACAGCCCTTTACATTTTATTCTTCATAATCAAGCTGTTCTGTTGATATGTGATCATGAACTAGGTCTTAACCTAGCAAATTCACAAATTAACTCAGCCAAATTACTGAGGAAGTGGAAAACTTCCATACTAATTAATGCCTGTGTAATTCTTCTGGTTATTTCAACAATTTCTTTTATGCTTCTTGTGTTTGATTTATTTTCCCAAAGCAGCACCTTTAAGACAAAAGGGGAAAAGGCCATCTCCTTAGAGTTCACACACACCCCCACCAGCGTTTGTTTTTTTTTTTTTTGGCCAAAGAGGAAAAACCGCAATCAAAAGAGAAAACCCCAAACCAAACAACCAAATGTCACTTGACAAACAACTAACGTAGTCTCATCTCCTTCCACCTGGAAAAAAAGTCTTTTCCTTAAAGCGTTCTCAATCCCCCTCCCACCTTGAAAAGGACAAAAAAAAAACCACGCCATTTCCAGACCAAGAAGCCATTTACAGACAAATGTCATTTTCCAGTTCTGATTTGTGCATGTCTTTTTTTTCTTTCTTTCCATTTTTTTCACAAAGCACTCTCAATGTGGCCAACTAACAGGAAAGTGTGTGTGTGTGTGTGTGTGTTAATGGTTTGGGGGGCGGCAGCTGCTACAGTTAATTCTCTTCTTTGCTTTTCAAAGAGCCTGCATATCTGGAAGGGGAAAAAAGGTCATACTGTAAAATGACGTGTCATTTGGCTTCACTGGGCACTTAGAGTACTAACTCCATTTTTTTTTTTTCGGCCTTATTTTATTCGATTCTCCTTCTCTTCCTTCCACGGCCCGGCCCGGCCCGGCCCGGGACACGTCTGCTCCGCGCACACAGTGTGTCCTGCCCGCAACGCACCAAGTCGCGCCCAGCGGCCGCCGCGCTCCCTCCTCCGCAAGCCCCCCCTCTCCGGCGCCACGACTCGCCCGCGCCCCCACCCCCTCGCTGCACCACCTTTACTACTCCGAGCCCTTCCGAGGGGCTGATGTCACCCGCCCCCACTCTCC